TGGGTTTTTTAACGCATTTTAAACCTTTGATGAACAGAGCGCACAGTAGACAGAAAATGCTCCAGGAGCCGAACATAATTGAAAACAAAGGAAATTCCTGCAAATGCAACACAGTGGACAATGAATCAGTGTATTTATTAACGCCAGACTGCACGATGACCAAAAATTCGTGGCCCAACTTATCATCAAATTTCTCTTTAATTGGTGAATCAATGTAACCTAAACTTTGCACAGCAGTTTGTATCAATTTACCTTAACGTAGTCATATTTTTCCACAACAATTGAGGCTAGATTTTAAAATGCATCTTCATGAATTTATATGAAATACTAAAATGGGACCAACTAGTCACAGCACAGCACTTGCTATAGTAACACTGCGTGTATTGTGTGAGCTCATTAAGACGCAGAGCAACGCGCCCCGTCACTGACTTTGATTCTCCGACAGTGCACAAAAGCCGAAGAAGGATTGCACCGTCTTGGTATTAACGGTCTCTGACATAAGGTACTGGACATAGGCGTTTGAGACTTGCCCAATTCTGCATGATTCAACGTACTAAACGACAATTACATTAATCAAAGCCACTGGGCTATCGCCAGTGGTCTCTTTGGCGTTTGGCTTATAGACAAAAGAAATTGATCATAGTTTTAGAAGGAATAGAATTTTAAGTAAGAAAAAAGTTATATAGTTTTTTGTTTGAAAACCGAAAGTACTTGCGTGTATTTTGAAATTCTTCCTAACTTTAATTGTCTTATCAGATAAGACATTAATGTTTAAAACTACCAATATATTAAGTTGTAAAGACATTCCTTCTTGAATGTTTTGTGCAAACATTTTTATTTTAAAGGTATTAAGTCATTTTCTTCCATGTTTAGGCATGAGGTTTTCACGGTAAAATTCCCAACACCTTCATGCCACCTCAATCTGTTAAATTGTCCTTAGTAAAAAAGACCATTCATCATAACGTCCAATTTGTACTGGATATTTTTGTTCAGTATATCAAAGGCAACAAAAGTTTGTGACATTGGGGCCGCCGTTGGTTCAGCCAGGTTTGAATGGTACGGAAATCGAACATCAAAAGGAAGGTGAAGGGATATATTGTTCTGATTTCTTTGTTTAAAATTCAAAACTGTCCATGAGCACATAGACCAGACCATTTTTTTCAGGGACCCTTTGATTACACTGTGTGTGCTATCCACTTCCTTTTACATGTGTCCTGTTTCAAGTTATTTGTGCTCTACAGTTTAGTTTTATCAGGTACAAATGTCGTTGATTGCATTTGACAAGATAGCGTTGTGGTGCTGATAAGCAGAATCATCACTGTATACAATGAACCCAGCATATTGTGAATAGGCTCTTACAGGATGTTACTGACACAAGAAGAGAATACATTGGCAATCAGTGGTCCTTCTCCTTCGTGCCAAATGTAGCACCTCACATCTTTGGTAACGAAATTTTAAAAATAAAGGTACAGACAGCTAATTTGGACCTTCTGTGATAATATTTAGTGCAGCAGATGCTTTCAATGCCGGTGCTAACATACCAACTTCCAATTCCATGCACACTACACGCAATCTGGGCCCATCCACAGGGTTTTGTGCAACTTTTCATTTGATTCCTTCTCCTACCTTACATACATCAAATTGCTCTTTTGGAATAGGCCTACATGTAACGACGGGTTGATCTTTTTGAATATTTCTCTGTAAGTTGTCAGGAACAGTGCGTTCCGATTTGACTCTTCGTCGCATTTTCTTTTGTACTCCCTATAAAGGGCCAAAGGCTTGCAAGCCTTTGAAAATGTGATTCAAGATAGACTTTGCCTGTATTTTGTCTGCAATAATAGGGAAACAATTTCGTCAAGTTTGTCAAAAAATTACTTTTCACAAAACTGCTTGTCCTCTTCTACTCTCTAGTAATTTGTCAATCGTGAAGATCCTGTCAAGTCATGTGGACTCTTTGTAACAGCCATGAATAGCCACTGCTTAAGGGCAGGGTTGTATTCAAACATTGTTTTGCGTACAGCTAGAATATTACTGGTGTTATGTATCAAATGGAAGTGGAGAGATGAAGTTGAAGGTTTGTTGAAGAGAATTTTCTGTATGAATGTCAAAGAGTGGCTTTTTTTCTGAGTGACAAATTATCTTCCCGGCACTGCTTAAACTAATCCATGGTTCAAGAATAACACACACAGCAAGGAGCGCATACAGTGGGTGTCGCATTCAACGAGGTCTCATTCAATGAGAAGTCGGCTCCAATGAGGCAATCATTTTCCCCCGATTTTTTCCCCCCTCTATCTCTTTGTAAATGTACGTCAGCTCCAACGAGGTTGCAAACAGACCGAGGTCGTGATAACCAAATAAAAGCAATTAGCGGCCTCAAAAGCGAAGAATTTTTCTCCTTTCTCTCCATGTCACGCGAAGCACAAGCCCCATCATCGATTCCGAACACATTGTATTGCTAGATTTAGTGTGCCTCGTGCACAGAATTCTACACTAAGTGTAGAATTCTGTGGCCTCGTGAAATATAGAATCTAGCGCCCCAAAGCCATGAGGATGGGCGAGGGTTGGCCTACGGTAGGAATGGGAGGGGGTGGGTGGGAACGCGATGCGGGCTGTGCGAAACTGGATGAACTGTGGATGGGTAGATCTGTGTCTAGATCGAGACCTTCATTATTTCGATTTTCTTTTCTTCCCCTAATCAGAAAATCCGAGCCACCGCCTTCCAGATCTAGCTCACTTCAAGCTTGTTTACGTAAACAGCTGACTGTTATCGTCTGTTGTTCTTTCAGTTTTACACTTGGATTGACTTTAAAAATTCGTTTTTGTTGTTTTAGTGATTTTAAAAGATGAATTAACCTTCCTCTAGATCTCTCTCAAAGCGGAATCCCTACCCAGAGGCCACTGGGGCGGTCTATGGGCATGTGTGTGTATGTGGGTTTGTATGTTTGGGTATGTGTGTGAGTGTGTGCTCTCAAGTGTTCTTGGGGTTATTGCAAACGTATAATTAGGTAGCGTATACGGCACGTAAGTCGACTCGCTGCCTTCCGAGCGCGTGGTTTCTGTGAAATGGGGGTAATTCAGACCTCTGTTTCTTTGCTCTTTTGCTGTAAAACACCAAATGCTGAACACTTTGAAAAAGTTCAGACTTTCTTCATTACAATAGTGTAAGTTGTTTGTTTATCCGATTATTTGGAGCTAGAGAATTTCCGTGGAAAGGGAAGCCCCTCGCGGTCGGAATGCGGGGTCGGTCGGTTCAAATTTAAATTGACACCCTTGTATTCGAATGCTTTGCAGAGGGGATTGAAGATTAAATGCCGTCTTTTCATTCGTGGAGAACTATACAGCTTTGAGCGTGGTTTCCCGTGGTTATTATTTTTGGTGTTTGGGTAGAAAACATTTTTTAAAAGCGTGTAAGTTTTCAAAGATAATTTTTTACACGAAATGTGTAAAATGCCGGCTAAAAAGGTACCAATAGAAAGAACAGTTCCTTTTCTATTAGAATAAAGTCATCGGCTTGGAATTATTTTGCACGAATCCTTCCACGAAACTCCGAGGAGCACTCAGTAGGCCTATACAACAGTATAGAGCCGACTCGCTCGCCGTGGGGACCGATGTGGTTCCGGCCGTGACAACGCTCAGTGTTTTTATTGAAATAACGACAGATCATCGTGTTTGAGGCAATAAAATACTGATTTGTAATGATCTCACCGTCTTGAAAAAAACTAGGCTTCATTTCTTTGTTATAATGATGGTACTCTCTTAATGTAGAAATGTTTGGTGCACTTGGTACTCTTTTATTATCTGTCAATCATGGAGTTGCAGCCAGTTAGCGACTTCAGCAATATTATGTTAAATTGAAACAGCTGCCATTCTTAAACATTGACTGAGAGGTAAAAGTATGGTACCAAAATTCTCAGGAGACATAGGCCTTTCATATGAATTAGATGAATTTGACGTACAGCTACTTTGAAAATTTAGTATCTGATACCTAGTATAATGCTAATATTTTGTTGCATTTGACGTGAAGTCTGTTCTCGTGAAAATATTGTTTTATCCATAAGTTTTTTCTCTGTGAATGAATAGTTTTCTAATCCTATACATGTATGTTACCCTGTAGTGGCATAGCCAAGATAACTGCTAAATTTCAAGTCTTTATCTCAATTCTAAGATCCCCATTGCTATGGAAACATGTTGCTCAACTTCGGAGGCCATTTTCTCCTTTTTGTCATTCCTCGCACAATTAAAATTTCTGTATTTTCGTCCAGATATGGTCATATTTTTACTTCATTCTTGTTTTAAATTATAGGGAAAAGGTGATAGTTAAAAAAAAAAAAATGTTAACTCAGTTTTGAAATGTCCTTCATATGACTGATATTGACCGGCAGGGACACATATATATAGATCTAGATCTGTGTGTGTGTGTCACGACGCTGTGGAATCAGCCTATTCGTCAATTTTTGGGCATGTGGAGTTATGGGTATCACCTTAAACCTAGTTCATTTTCCTTGCTTTCGATAAAAGAATTACCCATTTTTCTTAAGTACATGTCGAGATATTTGCGATTGAATGAGGTGGGGTCACCTGGTTTTAGCGGTAAAATTAGTGCGAAAATGGTTGTCAAAGTTTTGTTTTTTACAGAGCTTCAGAGTCGGTGGAAACTGACAATTTACTTTTTTTTTTGCCTTTACTGGTACTCAACGTTTTTCAATATAATTCACACTAATGTTTGTCAATATAATTCACTCTGAAATGGGTTCTTACATGGACATAGAAGGTGTTAAAAAACACAATTCTGCTAAAAAAATTGCCAAACCAGCGGAAAAGTAAAGTTTCTTTACTTTCATTATTTTTACGAGCGCCTGATTTCACCAAGCTGCCTCACGCATATATATTTATGGGTTATTTTATTGAACATGTGGAAGGAACTTGGCTAATTTGTAATGAAGTGTCATTATTTTACGGTGTCTGAAAATATGACTTTTTAAATTTTGTTTTTCTTGCAGTGTACCAGTGGGAAGCTATGATTTTAGGACCTGTAAGTACCATTGTGGAAGTCCCTACAATAATCTGAAATCAGACAGGCTGTATGTGTGGACATTTTTTTGTCACTTTAGGCTGTGATGGATGACAGAAACCAGTTAACATACTCGCATTAAATATCATTGTTGTTGTTGTTGATGATGGCTATGGCTGTGCTATTTGGCATGTCTCTTTACATTTACTCATTACTACTTAAATTGTTCACGATGAACTCTCTCATAGTCTTTATCTTTTTCATTTTATTTATTGTTGTATGTTTTTGGCTCGAATCTAGTTTTTTTCACATCTTTAAAGTTCTGAAAAGTACTTCAGAACTTGCACATTAATTTTATGGAGTGTGGCTGTCTTTTCTGATGAAATGTTGTATCTTAATCTGCCTGACAGATGGAGTTAAAGTAGCCACCCTCCTAAATGATCTAACCTGTGTCTATGGGGGTGTAAAACATTTTCATTCAGGATACCAGCCCACAAGGATTAAAGTTTTGTAATAATTTTGTAGTATAAACTAGCAATGTATACACTATTTTAATAACTGCTGTGTCAGTGGGTTTTTTAGCAGCTGTGGGTATGTAGGACATTCCGTTTCTGTTGAAATGGCTCCCTGCCAAAATTCAGAGAACCTTATGCTGTGTTTCTTTTCCTCAGCCTGACAGTGCCTATGCAGATGGTGTCTTTGCTTTGTCCATACATTTTCCAACAGATTATCCCTTTAAACCACCAAAGGTGAGATTTTTGCCAGAGACAGCATTTTCACTCATTATTCTCAAAATGCTGGACGATCACTAAATACAGTGAAAATAAAATAGGAGCAACAGAAATGTGGTTTCTTAGGAGATTGCTAAGAGTATCGTGGAAGGAAAAGAAATCAAATGAGGTAGTGCTTGATGAAGCCCACAATGTTAAAAAACAATCAGAAAACGACAAATGCAGTTTTTGGGACACCTGAATAGATATAAAGGTCTTGAAAATCTTGCTCTCTCTGGCAAAATTGAAGGCAAAAGAGGCAAGGGTAGGCCCAGAACAACATACTTAGGGGACCTAAATAAATGGGTATCAGGGAAAGATCAGGGAAACGTAGCATTTTTTAGAGCATCCGAGCAAAGGAATGAATCGAGAACCATGATTGCCGATGTCTGCCGCAGATCTGGCACTGGATGATGATGATGATTCTCAAATCTGAGAGAATTTAATTGGATTAACCTACTTGTAAAGATAATTGACAATATTTAATTAGAAGGTAAAATTCAATATACAAAGAGACCATCTATTCTCAGTTGAGATCTGTGTGGAAATTCCAAAAATACTGTAGATTAAAAAATCTAGTCCATTTCCAGATTTAGCTTTCTGTAATTGCCAGGAATGGACAGGATTTTGAAATGTGATGTAATCTCACCATCTTATTTTCTTATGCTATCCAATAGTAGTCTCTTGATTGCAGTTCATTGTTCTTTGGATTTTTATTTTCTTTGCATCTTTCTCTTTTCAGATTACTTTCACAACAAAGATCTACCACCCAAATATCCATGCCAATGGCAGTATATGCTTAGATATACTTAGATCTCAATGGTCTCCTGCCCTCACCATATCAAAAGGTAAATGTAATACAGTATTGAATATTTGTTCATATTCAGATCATTTTAAACTTTGTCTTAAACTGCGGTTGTTCTCAGATTTTCTTTCACCACTGAGCTATTACAAATACTGGGTGCTCTTTTGCAGGATCTAGTCGGGTTTATTAATGGCAGCTTTAGTGCATGCTACAAATAGACTTCTCCCATATTGTATCAAATTTGACCCAGAAGTTAAAACAGGGAAAACTTTGACTGGCACACAGTGCTGTACACAAAACTTACCATTCATAACACAGACATTTCCTTTAATAGAGGCTTCAAGTGCCTGCTGCGGCATATCACGCTTGCTGTGTTGAGAGGATTTTGAATTTAATCAGCCTCTCCAAATCAGCACTGTCCAGTATCGTATTCTGCGGGCATTTAAAAAAGAATATGATCCTGACCTTGTGACTCGTGGGCCTTGTGTTAACGTCCAACAGCTACAACCAGTTCGACTCATGTCCATAAAAAACGAAACATATCTTATTTTGAAGATTACAGTTAATTCAGTTGTATTGTGCCAAAATGGTGTAGCTTTTGCCCCTTCCTGAAAATAAAAGTGGCTGAATTGAATTGAATCAAAGTCGCAATGTGTACTGGGTATAAGTTTGTGGGACTGTGGTGTTTCCTTGATGTCTTTTGTCAACAACAGTGTCTGCTCTTGCATATTAAAAAATACTCCTTCTGTTTTTAGGTTAGAGCTTTATACATGCTTTGCAGGTGGGGGAAGGGTAAAACTGTAGCTTCCATGTTTTTATCATCACTTTGTTGTCATGTTACTACCAGTTTGTCTCTCTTTGCTTCATGTCCAGCTCATAAAATCAGTAATCATGTTGTATTTCTCATTTAGTCTCACAATTCAGTAGTGTGTTTTAAGAGGTGTAACTTTCCGTCTTCAGAAGTAAAAGGCACATTCCTCACTTATAGAATCTGCCAGAATTTTTAGTGTACTGTAAGCGTTTTTTTGTTGAATTTTTATCGACTCTATGTAAGTACAGTCAAAATTGTCAAAGACGACCACTCATTGTTGAGAGGGAAATAGTTGTCTTAGACAAGTGGACATTTTGGATGGTATCATTTTATATTAAAAAAACACAAAGTAGGAAGTGGTCGTTTGAACAGGTGGGTGTTTGAACTGGTTTGACTACTTGTGTTGCTCTACTTGTGTGTGATTTGTACTGAAAAAACAGATTGTTTTCTTATCCTATCTTGATGACGACACGACACTGAATAGTCTTTTTTCATTTTACTTTTTCAACAGTTTTGATTTCAATAACGTCGCTGCTGACAGATCCAAATGCTGAAGACCCTCTTGTACCTGAAATTGCCAAAGTTTATAAAACAGACAGATCAAAATATGAGGAGTTAGCAAAGGAGTGGACCCGAAAGTATGCCTTGCAGTGATCATCGAGATTGTTCTTTGCGCTTTCAAATGTATTCATGCCTAAGTTAATGCAATTTAGTTAATAGATATTTATTCTGTGAGGTTTCTGGAGAGAACTTGTCTTGATTTTAACGGATGTTAATCAATTCTTGGGATTTGGGAGGGGGGTCTCTTTCTGAGACAGGTTCTCTCTTCTTTTTAAAAAAAATCTCTGTCATTGCATGCCAGTTGGGAAGGGTCTTTTAAATGCAGTTATGACATTATGTTTTCTCAGTTTGCTCTAAGAAAGAATCACAATAATGTGTGTACAAGTTAATGATGTACGGAAAATGCAATTTGCAGATACTTTTGGATCACAAATTTTAGGGAGAGATTCGGGTCTTGAGATTGAAAACTACCACTACCTGGCAGAAATAAGACAACACTTACATGCTCTGCTGGTGTTAATGTTGTCACCATTTGTTTTGACCAGTTGGGGAAAGTGATGATAGTTTGACACAGCTTCTTGCTTTGTTCTTGCTCACTATATCCTTTTTCTTTTCTTGTTTGTCTTTCATATGCAACTTCATGTAATGGGGTTGAAAATAAGCCAGCAAAATGTTGGAAATATTGTGCACATCAGGATCATAGGAAAATGAAAAGAAAAGGTGTTTTGTTTATTTATAAACTATTTGCATTATTGTGAGAGAGTCGTCGGAGTGCAATAGTAGTACTTGGCTTCTACTGCGGGTTTTTTTTTCTTTCTTTTGGACACATCAACAAGAGTTTCGTAACAATTCAGCTTTTGAATTTACTTGCTACTGTGACTTTGCAGACAGGGCAAACATGGTTTTAATTTTAAGTTGATTTTAGAAACATCAACATTTTTTACTGTCTTCAGTCTTAACATAATTTCTTTTACCTTTGTGTTTTTTACTGTGTAAAAAAAAAGAGACGGCTTTTAAAGTTTCATTTATCACTAAGAAAACATATACTTCCAGAAATCCTATCAGGAACATTTTTGCGAGGAGATGTCTGTGCATGTGCCTGGACAAGGCAGCTCAAAATAGAATTAAACTTATCCTACATACCTCTTTCCCCCGTGTTTGTTCTAACTGTGTACAATGGCTGTAACTTTTATTGTTTGTACCCATGTAAAGTTTGCAAGGTAGCGCCAGTTTATCATCATTCGTCTAACAATAATGTATTATGTGCTAAGAAAAGTTTTCTCTATTTTCCCCCTGATTGGACCTCACAGTCTGTTCTATCAACAAGACAGTGTTTCTTTTAGTTTAATGATTTCCTAGCTCCTCAGTTTTGTCGGTTGTTTTATCATAGGTACAGTGCCACATTTTATATATATGCGAACTGGAAATTCTGTTATCCCCCAGCAGATTATTTGATTTGCCCACAAATAAATTGTCATTTGTGTTTTTGTTTGAGTAATGTTCTGTCAGGGGTTTTTTCCCCTTCGTTTCAGAATCTTTTCAAACTGATAATTGTTTGTTTTTATTTAACAAAACTGATTGACAAGGATCACGGTATATGCTGTATTAATTTTAACACCTCAAAGTAGTTCCTTTTTGCAATATAAAAGGTTCCTAGGACAAAATCTTTCATAGAGCTGTTCAATAGGCTTTAGTGTTTGCCTGCAAATGTGTTTAGGATAAAAGGTTGAGGGGTTTTTTTTCCCTAAGATAGCACGACCTCGACTAGCCAAGTGTATATTCATACAATACCCTTTGGAAATGAGTGATTTTGACTGTTCAGTCGAACCATATAAATTGGCTATAAATGCTTTTGACTACCGATATGTCTTTTACTTTTTCACTTTTTCTATGTGAAGTAACTACGTTTTTGGCCATTATTTATTTCCAATAGATGCTTTTCTCCTTTTGTCAGAACATTCGCAAAACATTAATGTATGATGATCTACAGACGTGTTTCTAAGTCAATCAGTATTTGGGGATTTTCTTCGCAACTGGTACTACTAATTGTTTCACTTATTAAAATGTCATTTTTACTCGCGATTGATTTCTGAGATCCTCATCTAGATAGTTTTAGAACTCTGTGGCATGAACCTTTTCAAGTTACCCTTGCTAGTGTTGAGCTATATTATTGATTCTACCTCATAAAGGCCTGTGACAATACAGACAGACAGTAGAGTCAGTTTTTAAACAGATATCTGGGAAATGGCCTGGTTTTCTTCGATTTTGAAATTTCGCTCAAATAGAAGAGTAAACAATCAGGGACTTTATGTTCTTTCCATTTATCACTGTTTTCGGATTAAAAGTGTTTGGGTTAAGCAGACTCTACTGCATCTCCAGTGAGATATAAAGGTGGTATCTTGATTGTTGTTTTGGACAATGACTGGTATTATAGGTGAGACACAGTAGCTTTTTCTTTTGTTTGGTGTATTGTAATTTTTAGAACTTACAGCTAATTATATAATTTTTCAGGGTGTTTTTAATTTTAAAGTCCTTATTGAGAACAGAAAGGATTGCATTACATGTAACTGTAGCCTTTTTTTTTTAAAGCTCTTCTGACAATTTTCAAAGAACAGTATCCATTGCTCAATTTTTTGCAGTTCTGTTGCAACTGACATATATATGCTTATACTCTACAGTATCAAACACTTTATCAGCATTGTGACCATAAAGAAAATTCCAAAGTATTGTAAGGTGACCAGCGTTGAGGAAAATTGTCATATCTCTGTACAATGGAATAGCACTGTTGGTATTTTCAACACTAAAATGATTAATGGCTGGACTTCCTGTGAATGTTGAAAATGGAATCAGTATGTCTGTTACTTTCAAAGGCCTGATTTTGAAATGATTTTCCAGTTTCTATTTCCAAATTTGAGTCAGGTTCTTGTTTCAAAGAAATCGTTTCTGGGTTTGTCCAGGTGTATTTCTAGAAAATGCCAGTTCTTCATATCCATAGAGTGCAGAGAGTTAGGGAAGCATTGAGTATAGAGAATTTGGGAATGCTCATCAATGTAGGAAAAATGTGTTGCATATATATAAGATGATGTTAAACTCCAGTTTGATTGTAATTTCAAATCAGTGTTGGGTTGGGGGGAGGGGGGCAGGAAATCCCATAAATAGACATGTAACTCTTTCCTTGTCTCAAGTAGTATTTTTTATTTTCCGTTATGAAACTCATGTCAGACGAAGATTCAATTTTCCTTGGCATCTGCGAGGGACAGGTTAGCGTCTGCCTTAGACTGAAAAAGTTATGTCGCCCCTGTGCATCAGAAAAGGGGAAGATTATCTACCACTGGCCTAGGTCGTGGCATGCTGAGATGCCCATTTTGTTTTTCCGTCTTTCAAAGCTGCTGTCTCAACTAATTTGTTTAGCTTGTTAAATATACAGCTTTAGCAAATCACAGAGTGGAAATGTTAACCTTCAGTTTTATAAATCATAAAGCATTTACTGGTACTCCGTACACTTTTATATTTTTCCTATTGGTGCTGATTATAGTGTTACTTTGTCATAGCTTCACACAGGTATTGTTTTGCATGTATGTGATGTAAAAGGAGCCTACAATTAACTTTTCGACAGTAGCAGCATGGAATCTAGGAGGCTTGAGATGGTGACACATTTTTTTTACGTTTCACTTTTTGATTGATGAAACATATGGTCATATCAAAGTCTGCTCCCATACTGGACAAAGATGGCACTACATTATATGTTGGCTTTTAAAAACGTGTGGATGTCAATTTCGTTGTTACAGCTTTTATATTGACCCCACACCCTCTGAGGCTTTTGCAGCTCCTTTTTCATTGGGGCATTTTGATTTATCTTTATAGCTGAAAATTTTTATTTGACGCTGTTTGGTATCAGCTGCAGGAGGCATATGCTAGTATGTCTTTCATTTAGTTAAATTAAATTAATTTAAATGCAGCCTTAATTCAAAAGTTGGTAACACAAGTACATGTACCGGTAATGCATTGTCTTCCTCCGTGGTTCCCTGTCTAGCCCATTGATATATTGATATATATATATATATATATATATATATATATATATATATATATATATAAAATATATAATATGTAAGCTCAATACTGGGTTATGTGTAGGATGAACTATCTCTGGACATTTAGTTTTCGGAATGTTGATTGAGACTAATGTTGCAATGTTTACCATCATCTCATTCGTTTTGTGAAGCTGCTGCTTGTACCGAAAACTGATGCTGGGGAAGGGCGACTTGCTTTTTTCAGCTGTGGCCATATATCTGAAACATTGATACTCACCATTGAATTGTACATGGGTGCACAGTACACATTTTTTTATTTTGTTGTTGTTAATGTACCTTTCTCATGATGTACAAGTGTAATAAAGGCATACTGAGACTACCTATTTGCATTTTATTTTACTTATTGTTTTTTATATTCTGTTTTGTCAAGTTTTTTTCTAGCGGGCAAGTAAACACCTGTTTCCAGTGTTACAATAGTTTATGGGCTATCATTCAATAAACTTGTGAGAAATATTATCAGGCTCAGTAGTGTAATGTTGCATGGAATGCAGCATATCACTGGTGGAGTGATGAAACCTCGTAACCCGCTATTTTTTCTAATTTCGTTTTTGGGCTTAATACTTAATGTCTTCTCCCAGTCAGTCACATTGTGTCAAAAACAGTAGTGCGTTGTTTCATCACTCCCAGTTTGAGAGAGCGTCGTGCTTATACGAGGTTCTGGACAAGCTTTCTTTATGAACCGGCTTAATTGAAGCGCTCATGACTGACATTGTCTGGTGCATTTTATATACCTGACTGAATAAAGAAATTATATATTTCATTCATTGATTCATTCTCTTATTCATTCACTTTATTTCAGTCAGTTCAGAAATTGAAATATGGTCATAAGTAAAGTATTTACATAATGTAAATCTATTTCAAATCCATTCTTAAGGATGATTATCTCGCTGATAAACAAGATGTTCTCATCGTGCACAAACGTAGTTAACATTTAAGTTAAGACGAGTCACACCTTGAAATGACAGGTGACGGTAGTCCTTACTAAGACTAGGTGACAGATCTATGCACTCTCCAGATGTCAGCAGGCCATTTTGTTTATCAAAGAGAGTTTAAAGTTTCACACCTTCTCAGACTATGAATCCGCTGAGTAGTCGAATCCTCCAGTTGTGGTTGAGATTGAGAACGAATGGTACGGTACATGTACTGAACCAAAGAGTCTACTTAACAAGAGGGTCCACTCCTCTCTTTGAGCCAATTAAAAAAGTGTCCTCAAAATTCGGTGGCGCCCTCTTCGCAAATGCGCACCCTTTGTGAACAGAGTTACCCTGCTTGTGTAAAAAAAATCAAAGTGAAACTAACAAGTTTTTGAATAAATAAGAATTCCAATTTCGGAAGAACGCTTTTTTAGAAAGGTTACGCTGACAAAAAACCTCTCTCGGAGGAAGGTATGACTTTTCTTCGTTTAATTTGACTTTGACGTTAGAATGAAAGGCGAGAGGTCATTAAAAATGTTTTAAAACACCAAAACTGCGTACTGAACGAACCCGAACAGCTGATGAACAGAAGTTGATTTGCGCACGCAAGGAGGTGCTATTCCTATTCTTCTTCTTGAGAAACGAAAGAGAACTTCAAAACAGACTGCAGTGCCATCTGAAGCAAAGAGCGGACTTTCGGCGGACACTTTTTTGGCTAAGTGGACCATCTTGTTATGTATTATCTTTGACTGGACTTACCCATGTTCTTGATGACCCTGAAGTCTATAGAGGACATTTGATTTTGACAAATGTGTGCCTCAACAACACAAGTAATACGGACATTTCCGAATTTGCTTTGAATATCGCCTTCCAGCTGTGCTCATCACCAAGATCTTTACACCCTCCATGGGCTGCTTTGGAAACCACTGTGCAGACCATATTCCGTAAATTGACCCCAGCCCCAATGTCGCAGTCCTTTCCAGGGCTGTCCCTGATATGAGGAGACAAGGAAGTATCAGCATCATCCCAGACTGAGTCTGCACCAACATCAGTGTCGCCTGGAATCACGCCCCACACCATACTGACGTGGATCACAGCAAAACGATCTGTAGACCCCATCCCTAGGTCCCTCTCACTGTCAGGCACCTCAGCCACTTTTCCTGGAGCCTGATCCCGAGACACGGGTCATTTGTGATGCCAACTGGAGGGATTTTCCACAGAGGAAAAGAAAGGGTTTTCAGGAGTGGCAGCAAATAAGCGAAAATCTATAGGCTATCCGTTGATCTGGACAGGGATACATAATGATTCAAGGAAAAACCCAGCTAAGTTATTCAAACCAAACTGTGATTGCAAGAGCTAAACTCTGAAATGTAAAGGGTTCTATGAAGAAGACGGACATTCTAATTTTGATTTAGTGTGGTCTCTCATGTGGACGTAGTGGACTTAGACCAACCTCAGAGGAGGTATTCAAAGACTAACCAGAGAGGGAATACCTTCAATACACACTTTAAAAAGGTGGCCATAAGGTGCCTGTGCGTTAAAAGATGTTCCTGAATTGAACTGGGTTGGGTGAATGAATTGTAAGAAACATTTAGAACCTTTTATCAAAGCAACTCATCTATAAAATATATGCACAATTTTGCCAAGACCACGGGAGGCAGCCTCGCAACAGACCCGCCCTCAGTGAAACATTCAGGCAGAATAACCTGTCGCTGTTCATGCCAAAGAAAAATATGTGCGACCTTTGCATCAGCCGTGAAGTTGGCAATGTGCCGGGGGGTGTTTGGAATGCTCGCATTCCAGAAAAGGAGGCAGTCACCAAAGAAAAGGAACGAGATAAAAATTTATCTGAAACAATCAAATCTCTCGCCAGTGATGAACCCAAAACGGCTGTACTTTCATTTTTCAATGGATCTTCAGCATCAACCCGATATTACAAAACAAAGCTCGGAATTCATAACTTTATACTATTTGATGCTGCAACACGCCAGACTATTTGTTACGTGTGACATGGAGCAGTAAAGGGGAATTATAAATATGACAAAAGTTTGCTTCATGTCTATTGGATTTCCTGAAAGAAAAGCTGGACTTCCAGAAAACCACCATCGACAGCGACAGCTGTAGTTACCTATACAGAAATGCCACACAGCCAATGTTTCTCTCAGCCTGTTTGCAACAACACATGGTAGCACAATTGAACAGAAATATTTGATCAAAGGACACACAAATTTGAGATCACTTCGAAAGGCACTCATCGAAGTCCCCCTAGACTACCTCCATTTCTTCAGGATGGCAAGAGCAAAACCAGGAACTTATCAAAACAGATACATGTATTTGGTGGATCACACATTCTTCAAGGACTATCCTTAGTGTGGAAGCTACAACGAGTCTGTCAGACCAGGCAGAAAAACGGTTTGTAGTACACCCCAGACATGAACATACAGTTCAAGCAGCACCTCAGTTTTTTTTTTAAAGGGAGGGGGGTTAACGTTCCGACGACAGGACACAGAAACATGAGGCCCATCCTACAACACCACTCTACACAGAATATTTTAAGATCCAGCACTCCAACTCCAAGTACAATCACCTACAGGTGCTAATTAAATCTATTATTGCCAAAATACACCATCACTTTATGACAATTTACATCATTAACATTTATGGCTACTCATTATGATTCAACATCTCTTGTTTGTGAAAACCATTTGCAGTGCAACCAGAGACCATTTTGCAGAGATATATTATTATTCATTTGTGCTTTTTACTAAAAATGGAAGTAACCAGATCCAATCTTGGCAAATTATTTTGAAACGAATTGCAGTACATGTAATCGCTAATCTGTTTGAAGATTCAAACCCAAATTCTGCAGGTAACGCATTTATTTGACTTCAGTTGGCCGGGAATCGAACTCCAAACTAATTGGTCTTGAAGAAATATCTTTATCAGTTTGAAGCGTTTTAAAAAAATAGACGCATACTGCAACTAAATGAGCTGCGAGAAAACTCGCAACCCTCAAACTCTGTCCTGATGAAACCTCGCAACCCTCCTGTCGGCTGACTACGTGGTTTCATCACGACAAAAATATTGCAATGAAACCTGGCATCCCACAGCGTAACCATATAAACAGTAGAAAAGTTATTTTTCGCTGAAGCTACAGCGTTCACCACTCCACCTGCAGTGCATCTGATTTTTATGTAGTTGACCATCTTTCCTAATTCGTTGTGCTCCTTGCCTTTATTAAGGAAGACCCATTCAGATTTCAAAGGTAAGATTTTTATACAGTCAAATCCTGTTATTCTGCCGCCCTTGGGATGAGCTTGAAGTCAGTTTAACGGGGTTCTTCTGCTAAACAGCCCCGACCGCCCATCTTTAGGGAAATGATTATGATCTGTTTTTGAAAAGTGTCCTTTGCCTTTTGTTGGTCATTTACATATGTACATAATTAATTTAGAACTCAAAGGTCTTCTGTATGTACATGCAGGCCTACAAATTTTGACCCTGCTGAACTTTTTAGAAATTCAAATATTGAAAATTTCTGCCAGATCAGAGACTAGGGCTAGACTATGCCGCAGTCATTCAACATTGTAGTACATGTATTATGTATATATATACATGTAAAAAAAAAAAATTTAAAAAAACTACCAAAAAACATGTATGTTGCAAAGTTGGTTGCACGAGATACGTGGATTGGTTCTAGTCTCACTCTTCTTTTAAAACAAAATGAAACAGATTTGGACGAATTATACATTTTGACAATATTATCTTGACAGAAATACACGTTTTTTTGCTTCTCCTGAACACCTCGTACGTTGACACACGACGACAATGCGTGAATGCTGAATGACGGCAATAACTGTTGTCAAGGTCCCTGCGGATGTAGATTTATATATTTTTTTTAGCCTATACCCATCAGTCCTCATGCTGCTTCACACCTGTCACATAGCCGCATGGGAGTGAGATTACCACGATCACATGGAAATTGGTGATGCGGAAATTGCATTTTCAAGAACAGTTAAGAACTTTGGCATCTATTTTTATTTCAGTTTGTCAATGTTGACTGAGGTAAATCATCTGATCAGCTGCATGTATTTAGAATTTGGAAAAAATCAGTCGATCACGTCGTCTAATCAATACAAAATATACTGCTTTACTAGTAGACATAGCTTAGTTTTGTCAAGATTTGATTATTGTAACTCCTTGTTATCAGTATCAGGAATATCGCTGTCAGTATCAGGAATATCGCTGGAGATTAAGTGAGAAGACTTCAAACTGTCCAAAACAAAGATGGACGTTTAGTTTTACAAGAAAGAGAGGGAGGTTCTGCTTCACCTCTTTTACGGACCTTGGACTGGCTTCCTGTTGAGAAAAGACATTTTACAAGTTGGCCACTCTGTGTCACAAATGCTTGAATGATAATGGGCCATCATAATTTATTTATCAATTCCGTTGAAACTGTACATTCCAACTTGCAGTTTATTAAGGTCATCAGCTGACAAAAAGAGATTTAACTATCTATGAAACTTAAAACAATGGGTGAAAGTGAAAGGGCTTATTTGAATATCAAGGCCCCGAGATCTGGGATTCTTTGGCCAGTAGTTTATAAAACTCTTTCACTACCGAGAGCCATGTTTCACGGCTCGTGTTACCCCCAACACTGGACCGCGAGCCGTGTCTCGGGGCTCATCACTTCCTGCTTAAGACACCACACATATTTTGTAATTATAATCGAATCAAATAATAATAGACTGAAGAATGATCGTTTTTAGTTTAGCAACATGTTGAAATAGGTCATTGTTATATTATTTCCCCTCTATTTTCATACGTACTTCAACATAAGTTAAGGAC